ATTGTATGATATCTTCTCCTAGTATTAGAAACTTTAAAAGTATATTTCAAAAAAAAATAAAGAACAAGAAGCAATAAGGTATACAATGAAAATATTAAAAATACATAATAAAAGAAAAATAATAATATAGCTTATAACTTCTTTGAATGTATTAAGTGTTTGGTGTTAACATGAGTGCTTGATTTTGTTGGTGGGGAGACAGTGAAGAGGCAGTGAAGTTTGCTGGAGCTCTGCAGCTAGGAGGAGTGGAGTTTGGGTGAGCCCCTCTGCTCTGGTTCTTTTCTCTGGGGCATTTGTCTTTCCTGAAGGTCACTGGGGCAAGAGAGCCCAAGAGGGTGAGGAGGAGAGGGGGCGAACAGGGAAGGGCAGGGCTGCAAACCATCTGTTTTCAAAGCGCTGCTGAGGCCTGCTGCCCTGGGAATTACAGGGTGACCAGCTCTGTCCCTACACACACACACATACACACAACCATTTTTGCACATGCTCTTCCAAGTCAGTCTGGCTTTCAAATGACTTAAAATTTCACCAGTAAAGGCCGTGCTTTCAACTTTTGTTTACCTGTCAGTAAATGGAAATGGTAACGTCCATTTGGCCTGCTCCTTTGGGGTCAGTCTTTCAAGGATCTAATAAAAATGACGGAAGTTCAGGTGGTTAAATCAACATGTGCAAAGTCATTTCCTGTGTAAGACAGTCCTCCAAGTGCCCAGACTGTGATTGTAATCAAATTAACAGAGCAGACCACAAGTAGGCAATCCAAATTCAAATAGAAATAACTCCTGTTTCTTCCGTGAAGTGGCCAAACAAGAAGATTAATTCTTTTGATACATTTCTGATTTAAAGACCGTAAGAGTTGCTTTATATCTTTTTTCAGTTCCTTGTGTTGAAATTTTAGTGAAGACAATCAAACTTTCCTGAGGAGAGTAACAGTGCTCAGATAGTCAAGATAAGTGAATGACTGTCTCTTTGTGTCAGGTTGTGTAACTGACTTCTGACACACCGCGCCATAACTTGAATGCACTGGCAAGTGCCTGCTTTTTTTTTTTTTCTCTCTCTCTCTCTCTAACTGTTTTACAAAGTAATTTTCTTTTTCTTTAATTTTAGGAAACAGATATTGATGACAGATATGGAGATTTGGATTCCAGAGCAGACTCTGATGTTCCCGAAATCGCACCATCTGCAGACAGGACCCCTGAGATCCTGCAGAAAGCTCTGTCGGGCTTATCCTCAAGGTATGAGGGGCTGGGTCTTGGAGTGCAGGCGGCCCCGAGCTTATTCCGCTCCGAGGCAGTGTGGTGATCATGAGAGTGAAAGCTTGGACTCTTTGACTTGCATAGTAAGTGAGGCGCAATCCTAAGCGCTTGATGTATAGTTTTTAATTTTATTTATTTTTTTTTTTTGTACAGGGGATTGAACTCAGGACCTTGCTCTTGCCAGACAGGTGCTTAAGCCACAGAGCTATCTTCTAGCCCTTTTATTCTGGTCTTAACTGAGTTTAAAATTATTACACAAAATTCCACAACACTTTACCATCATTTTATATTTGTGCTGTGTTTTCAAGTATTTAATGGCCACAACAGTTCAGCCCATTTTAATCAATTGTATACTTTAGTAATACCGTTACAGTTTTTGTGTAGGACATGGAAAGAATTGCTAAGCATACACCCAGCCGTGAAGATCAGGAACATTGGACCCGGGGGCTGGCTGCACCGCTGAAGGTACAACGCAGTCCAAGAAAGGTCCTGGGCCACATAAAAGCACTACATATGGTCACAAGCACACAAATTGTCCCCAGCAAAGGAGCAGGGTGGATAGCTCAGGCGTTCAGAATGGAGAGGCTGCCACCTCTACTTCAGCTGTCCCCAGGGGGATTGATAGCAGTGACTGGCAGGTGCTGAGACACCGTGGGCGCACGCAGCACGCATGCTCATCCTGGAATGCGCTGATGCTACTTGTGTGTAGGAGATGTAGTGTGGATTCATGAGCCTGAATGAGTTGGAAGTAAGGTAAAGGTGACCAGAAGATCAGCTAGGAGAGCCTCGGCACCCGCGCTCTTGGCTAGAGCTCGCCAGCATCCTGTAAGCTCTTGCTGTTCTGTTATCCCCCTCTCTTAGGACAGTGGAAGAAGCAAAAACCAGAAGGTCCTGTCTAGGATTAAAAAGAGGGAAGAAATGACTCCCTCAGCTCCATTGCCTCTAACTGTACTAATGTGAATTTAAAAATGTTTAAAGCAAAATAATGTTTTATTTAGATTAGTGTGCAGTATGTGACACAGTAGTGAGAAGTGTTTCCTTAGCTTTTATGATAGATACATGGAAAAAAATACATTTTATACCACATCCCAGGAGCTGCACTAAATAGAACTTTACCTGCTGCAAAAAAAAACAAAAAACAAAAAACCAGCAACAAAAAAAACTTTACTCTCTGTCTCTCTGTCTCTGTCTCTGTCTCTGTCTCTCTCTCTCTCTCTCTCTCTCTCTCTCTCTCTCTCTCTCTCTTTAGTACTGGGTCTTACTATGCAGCTCGGACTCATAGTGATCCTCCTGTTTTCAGTCTCCCCAATGCTGGGATTACAGGCATGTGCCACCACGCCTGGTCTTGGTGGCTGGCTCAGTGTGCCTGGAGGTGGGGTCAGCACAGAAGGTGGTACCAGGTCTCTGCACTTGCCTAAGCAGGCGCTTGCTCCACTAAGCTACCTCGCTGGCCCTAGTGCTATGAAATCTTGCCAGTGTTGCACACGGCATCCCCTAACTTCCGTTCTATCTGATGCTGTTCTGTGTCATCCACACAAGTGCTGGATACAATTTCCTACCTTGATTTTACTGCCACAGGCCGTAACCTACATTTTGAAAACCACAGGTTTGGTCACTTCTACAAAAATTCATGACTCTTCTACTTTTGGGGCAGAGCTATTCTAATGGCGTAAGGAAGGGAATCAATAGAACTTGGTTCCTCCCACTGGGTCGCTCACAGTGCAGGCCACTAGTGTGATCCCAGAACCTGTGGGTTTCACCCTCCTGGCAAGCAGGCAGCCACTTCTCCAGGGGGCACTGCTGGTGGGCTCTGGCCCAGGCGCTCTGATGGCATCTGCCTGTGTGAGGTCTCATCTCCCTTTTCAGGCTCCAGTCACTAGGCAGGGCTTCCAGAGCTTCTGACCAACCGGGCCCAAGCTGGAGCTCCCCTGTCTGCTCTTCTTCCTCAGCCAGTTCCTTAAAGCAGCTCCCAGAATGCAGGTGAACACACATCTCATTACTGGCTTATTATAAAGACTATTTATAGGTTGGGGCCAAATGGGCAGAAGATGAGGTCCCTGGGCTGGGTCCAAGGCAGCTGCCAAGCAAAGGACTTCAGGGACCCCTTCCCTTGAACACACCCCAACTGCATTCTCACCACCATTGCGCAGGCCCTCCTGTGCCAGCTGCAGAGGCTCTTGGTCACATGGGGGTCCATGGGTGTTTTCCTGTCCTCCTCCCTCCCACACAGCCACTGTGGGACTGGTGGCAGGACGCGCATGAGGGCCCAACAGAGCAGGCTGGCTGATCAGGCCTCCTCCAGGGCCTGCAAGGCGTCCTGAGGCTGTAGACTTCAGGACGCCTTGCTTCACAGCACAAAGGGAGGGAAAATTAGTATATGCCCTGCCTCCCGGAAGAGAAATTTACAGTTTCCAAACCTGTCTTAGAAAAACACAGCAGCTGAAAGAGGCAGGAGGAGGAGGAAGAGAAAGAGGAGAGGATTTTGCTTTGATCTTGGCTTCTGAGGCCTAGACTATTACCCAGGCACTCTTCTAGTTGTTTGGGGAATTATACACCCAAGCTGTGGCTGTAAAGCAGAATGTGTGTATCATAACATCTCATCCTTATTAGGACAAATTGGCTCAAAGCGAATTTCAGATTGTCTAACCCAATCTGTGCTTTTATTGAAAGCAGGATTATTGTTTTAATAGCTTGTGATCCCAGTGGTTTTCGTGACCCAGTTCGCAGGTGTCCCTTTGCCTTACAGTCTCATTAGGCCTCTCGAACCTGGAGTAGTGCTGGGTTCCTGTATACCACTCTTACGGCTTGATTCCTGTGTCACTCCTGTATATCCCTCTTCCTTCCTCTGTGATTCCTTTTTGATCTAAAATAGCAGTGACAAAGAACAGCTGCTGGTAGTCTTTGAGCACATACAGCCTGATGCAAGTTTCCCCTCCGCTGCTCTGATACACTGTTACAGTCCTGCAGTTACTTTGTAACGAGTAACTTGAGGCCTGGAGATACTGTGTCCCAGCTCACCTAGCTACTAAGTGACTGGTTGAGCCAAAGAGCTTTGATACCTGCGTTCTTACCTTTGCTATTTATGGGACTTGCAGTTTTTTAAGAAGAATCATAGTGTAACACTTGCAGACTCTGAAACTTCTTGAGAAAAACTGTGTGATTGTTTAAAAATCTGTGTTCTATAATCTTCCTACTAATACTTTGACATTTATAATAGTTTTGGATTTATTCTTTTTATTGCCCTCCTTTGGTTTGAACCTAGAGGCACTGTACCATTGAGCTATATCCCCAACTCTCGACAAACTTGGAAATCCTCCTGCCCTAGCCTCCCAAATGCTGCGATTATAGGCTTGTGCCACTGTGGCCAGCTGTTGTACTCTTTGAAGCTATTTCTTGTACACTGTGCATGTAAGATGTGAAAATGGGCTCATATTATTTTCTCCCTTGCTTTTAAATTTTCATTCCATCAGGGGCCGTGGAGATAGCTCAATAGAATAAGTGCTTGCCTGGCAAGCTCAAGGTCTTGAGTTCAATCCCTGGTACCACAAAAAAAAAAAAAAAAAAAAAAAAAAAAAAATTCATTCCGTGGAGTAGTGGGAGCAATATCTCATATCTTTAGCCTAGGTATTGGGTTGCACCCAGGGCCTTACACATGGTAGGCAGATGCTGTGCCACTGAGCTGAGTCCCAGCCTTTTGGGAATGAGTTCAGTGGCTTTGTGATACGTCTGTGGTGTGGCCATAATCTAGTCAGCCACCAGCCTCCTGTTGAACATTTAAATTATTTCTAAATTTCATAATTAAAAAAAATCTGCAAATATTTTTGTCACTATCTTTTGGAATTCATAATAATTCCCTGAGGGTAACATTTTAAATGAGATGCTGAGTGATCAAGGTGGGCAGTAATCCAGGCTTTTGATTTAGGGGCCCATGGCACGAGCTCTAGGCACTGTGAGGGAGGGCGAGAGCTGGGCTCCTGTGGTTCCCTGGCCTGGGCAGGGTGGGCTCTGTCCCTCCCGGGGCCCCCTGGCCTGGGCAGGGTGGGCTCTGTCCCTCCTGGGGTCTCACTGGCCTGGGCAGGGTGGGCTCCAGCTGATGCTTGGTGCTGTGTGGAGACCCTGTGGGTGTCACAGCAGTGGCACTGCTGATGGCAGGTGGCATATGGAGGGCAGGAACACCACTCTGTGTCACAGAGCAGCCTCTCACGGTGCAGGGAGATGTGGCCTGGGATGTTACTGATGAGTAGACTGAGAGACCCCAGAACATCTTTTGCAGTGCTCTGGACCTCAGAGTGCCTTCCTTCTTCCAGAGAGCCCGCCCTCCCCTTCCCCTCAGAGCTCCAAACTCCTGTGCCCCGCCTCCCTGCACTGAGGCTCCGAGGTACACAGCCTTGCATCCACCTAACTTCCTGGGGGCCACCATTCCTGTGCTGCTAGGAAAGTAATTTCTAAAAAATCTTTTCATTAACTTTTTTTTTGAAGGAAAAATAATTTTTAAAAAGTAGAAATAGGCATTTACATATTTTTACAAAGAAATTTAGAAATCTAACCATATACAGAATTGTAACAGGACAGACCTGTGACATTTTTTTCTTTTTTCAATTTATTACCCTTTTTTTAAAAAAGGCTTTACTTGAGAGACATTATGGCAATAAATGGTATGACATGACAAGAAGTACATATTTAGAAGTCCAGGATGGCAGGCACTCCAAGCGTGACCCCTCTATTACACATCTCCATCCTCAGTGCAATCATGAACTTTTAAAGTAAAATCAACTTCTTAGCTGTAGTAGCAACAAGACATTTTGTAGTATATAGCAGTTTGGACAGTAAGTGTATAACCATTTAGAAGTGCATGTGGGGTACAGTGCTAGGGATTAAACCCTGGGCCCTATGCCCTTAGCATAGGCTGTACCACTAAGCTGATCCCTGGACCCAAAACAGTCACTCTTAAGGATATTGCTTCTTAATTATGAACTCTC